CTTTATTCTTGGACTCAACACCCTGCAGCTGCCTGCTATACCCAAATACACACACACAGAAAACATTAAACTTCCCTACCCAAGGGTATTCTGGAAGTCACAGGCTCTAAACAAAAACTAAAAGATACAGATAGGGATGGAACAAAAGTGCAACTACTCGATTTTCTGACTGAGACAGGCCTTGTACTTCTGAACCAAGGACTGCCTATGGAGAAGGACTCAGGGTCTCGAACCTTCATGGCAGGATCAGCACTGCCAACATCAGCCTCTAACTACATTTTCCAGTGCAGTTCTTAGCCTTGCAGTTTGAAGAAATCTTGACAATGGGTCAAGTAGTACTAGTTTATGATGATGTGAATGTGCGAATGTTTAATTTTTATTTTAAGTACTGTAGTAGAAAGTTGAGGTTACTCTTCAAATACCTGTTAAGAAGTCACAAAGGTGGGAATAAGTTGTGATTGTTAAGAATCACAGGACCTTTTGTTGCAAGGGTCCTTAAAAGTATTTCAATTCAGCCTCCTCAACTCTAAAGTAACACTAAGGGGTCCTCAGGCCCATGCTTGACTCCCTCTAGTGATCTGGAACTTAGTAAAACAATTCACTTTGTTTTTACAGAGTTCTAATTTTTAGAATGTTATATTTTATACTGAAGCAAATATTTAACTCTATGTACTTTTTAATCATAGAGTCCTAATTTTCTGGAATAATCCTAACATTTCTTCCAAGAAGGAACTTTCAAGGGATAGTCCTTTTTTCTCAACAGAGAGATTTCCAAATACAGTAGTATTATACCACTTCCCATGCTGCCTTTTACAGTTGTTCCTAAGGATAAATTAGCAGAACCTTGATTAAATCTAAATATGCACACTAAGCTAGCTATTCAATACTCTGAAGTGAATACTACCACTTGCAACAATGGTAAATACACTCTTGGTCAGCATCCTTATTTACAGAATAGAAAACAGAACATCTTCAACCTACTACATGTATTCTTTTCCACAGCTCCTAGAACCCCTGATTAATGACCTCCACTTGCAAAGGAGGCTACTTACCTTAACCATGAAATAATGAATGTTATTGATCCAACAAGCTACTGCTATAGAGTGTTATTGATCACCCAATCTTTGGTTAAAATGGTCCTCATTTAGCAATTTCACTGTCACAAACACCTGGAGCAAAGCATACTCATAATTAAAGAGTTTGGGGGAGTTCAAGTGAGAGGTGATAGACAGAGATCTCAGCTTTCTCCCATTTATTCTTGCTTCTGAGCTATTGTTTATGTCAGAAAGGATATTGATTTTCTATAAAAATAAGAAAACAAGAGGCACCAAGGGGCCGCAGAAGGTCAGCTTGGGCTGCAGAAGGAGGGGGGAGGTTTAGCACTCTATCTCTGTCACTTGCCTTCCAAGAGAAGGGAATATTTTCTTTCCTGTGAGATAGGCCTCTAATACATCACCTAAGAAAGGCTTCTGAATGTGACTTCAGGCCATCACCCAACCAATACGCTTATAAAAGAAAAAGAAGGTAAACTACATTTAAGGAAAACAAACAAATAATATGTTAGTAAAGAAAGAGCAAAATTAGACTTCAGGCATATAATTAATAGGTGCTATACAGACAATTTGAATAAGGATTAGTAAAAAATACATTTATAAGAGTCATCCCATTTTAAAGTATTCACAAACATAGATACACAAAGATTCAATAGATGGTAATTTGATCTTTATACAAACATTTAAAAAAACCTATTATATCATAACTGAGTTCCTCAGAACCCATGAAGGATTAGTTGGTATAGAATTGAGGGGAGATCAGAAAAGTAAATACATCAGAAAGTAAATACAGAAAAGTAAATACATCAAATATACCAAACTTTATACATAAACTTAAAACTACTCTGTTTAGTTCGCAAAAAGAGAATTTAAGGGAATCAGAAATAAGCTGATTAAGATCGACATTTTCATATCTAAAGCACCTAATATATTTTTTTGAAAACTCGTAACTACTGATCAAGCTAAGGCTAATCTTAATGATTAACCTCATATTAATAATTCTACAAAATGGATGGTGACTAACAACTCTTAACACCACTGATAAAAAGCAAAGTTTTACACTTTGATCTATATGTAAATAAACTGTGGCACATCTAAGCAGATTTATTAAAGAATAAGCAAGAGGGTTCTTGAAAGTATTTCTTTTAATGCAAGAGAAAGAAAGTAGAAAATTTTTGACAGAATCAACTCATCAAGAGAGAATAATCATATCCAAAACATAAACTATTATCTACTTTACATTCTAAAGCTAGTCCTGTTTAGCTGGGCTGGGAATGTAGCTCAGTGGTACAGCACTTGCCTAGCATGCACAAAACCCTGAGTTAAATCTTCAGCATCACAAAAAATAAAAAATAATAATAACTGAGCTTAAAAATGAAAAGATTTTAGCTCCACTTTACTACTGAATAAAAGCTGAACATCATAAGAAATCAAAGGATAAAAAAGGATGACCCTTCTTTCCTTACAGAATGGATTCAGGGGGAAAAAAACACAAAGCACTTCTGTTTTTGTAACTACAGATAAAAGGGGAATTTGGGCATCTTAAATAATTAGAAGATTTAAAAGACTTTTTCTCAGATCATGTCTGCTGTAACTCTGCCCATTCATTATTCCTTCACAGCTAGGAGCACTCTGGCATCTGTATTACTGAAAGAACTCTGAAGTCACGGACCACAGAGATAGCCCAAATGGGAGAATGAGTTCTCCTTAATTTGAAGACAGTTAAGAATTTCATAAGAACTCCTGTCTACTTCAATTTCTCCAGCTCTCAGATGACTAGAATTTATATCATCATAACCTGACCACAATTGATGGTCTAGGTTCAGAGAAAGAAAGACAGAAGTAACAGTAAGACCACAGGCTCTGCATTTGAAGCTATATATCTTAGAGTAGACAATTAAAAGTATCTAACACATACAATTATTTCACAGTTTAACAAGAAATTCAAATAACCAACAGACTATTTTTTTAAACTACCATTTTCTTTTTTTTGCAGCACTGGAGTAATACTGCCATTTTCAACAGTAACAAGATTATAAGCTATATATGCTTCATATTAAAACAAACTTGAATATCTCAACAGAGAGTTTCAACATCATGAAAGGATAGAAGTTGACTAAGCAGTTCTTGTTTGATTAAAAATGGCATGATAAGTCAAGCACAGAGGCACAGGCCTGTACCCAGCTTATCTGAGAAAACTGAGGCAGGAGGACAAGCAAGTTTGAAGCCAGCCTGGATAATTTAGCAGACCCTGTGTCAAAATAAAAAGAGCTAGAGATGTAGCTCAGCAGAAGAGCACTTGTCTAGCATGGGTGAGGCTCTGGGTTCAAATTCTCAAGAGAAAAAATAAAAGGCATGATGAGGAAAAAAAATACCTTTATAATCCAAAAATATACATCTGTTGAGTAAGCAGACCTAAAAACAAATTAGGCTTAGAGGAAAATGAAGAAAGCCAAACCAGGAGCCCATCTCAATATAGTTGAATAGACTGACAAATATAAAGTTAGGAAAAGTTTAAAAGCTGGATCAAAACCACCCATAAAACATGGAAACAGACCTACATAGCTTACCCTGTTACCAACACAGCCTCACCTCAAGGTACCCAAGATTTTTTTTTTTTTTTTTTAAATGAGTTCAGAGGATGAACTTTTTTTTTTTTTTTTTTGAGAATTTTAACATTTATTTATTTTTTCTTAGTTCTCGGCGGACACAACATCTTTGTTGGTATGTGGTGCTGCTGAGGATCGAACCTGGGCCGCACGCATGCTAGGCGAGCGCGCTACCGCTTGAGCCACATCCCCAGCCCCAAGGTACCCAAGATTTATGTCTTTGTTTTTAAGACAAACTTCAGAAGCCAAGTACTAAGAAAGGTCATATGTTCTACAGTTATAGAAGTTAAGATGAGACAGAAAAGGGTCATGGAAAAGGCACAAACTCAGAGGGCCACAAAACATGGTGAAATATGAGCTTTGAAATCGGGTTTGATTCTCCATTTTGGCACGGGGTGACCTTGGACAAATTATCTAAACTCTTAATCTCAGTTTCCTCTTCCATAAAATACAAATAGTACAATTTTACTATACAGTAGAACTATGAACATTAAATAGGAATATTAAAAAAGCATATAGCACAATGCCTACTACACACAATTATTGCTTAGTAAACGTTAACCAATATTAATAAGAGTAGAAACAGTCTCATCCTGGAGAACTCAACTCATTTGGGTTGATACAATGAAAATTGGAAGGACCAAAGTAGGGATGCTAAATATCCTGCAGTGCACCACAAAGAACTGTCACTCTCAAAGGCCAGTAGCATTTCTTGCTATCACAGATATCACAAATTAATATTAAAGCTGGAGAGTATTAATGTTCCTACAACTATCTGAAATATAGAAAAATTAAGTTATCCAAAACCATACCAACATTTTAAGCATGCACCCACTGGAGACAAATTTCTCTGGCTTGACATATTTGGTCTAAGATTAATGGGGGGGGCTGGGTTGTGGCTCAATGGTAGAGCACTTGCCTAGCACGTGTGAGGCACTGGGTTCGATCCTCAGCACCCATAAAAATAAATAAATGTATGTGTCCATCTACAACTAAAAATTAAAAAAAAAAAAAAAAGATTAATGGGACTGAACACTGTTATTTTTAAAGCCCACGATGTGTTCAGACAACTTGAATACTGCTATTAAAAATATACTCAATATAGTCAAATTGTAAGTAGCAGAGTATAGAATTACACCTCAAGAGTACCTAAAACCATAATTTTTAAAGGGGAAAAGCGTCATACCAGGAACATATATTAACTGCATATGCCCGGCACCTGTGCATTTTCCCACACCCACATACACACTCCAGCCTCTACTGAGACTGTGGTACAACAGGACAGTATCTACATATGAACTATGTGGCATAAACAGCATCCATGCAAGGGAGATCTCACCATTCCGACATGTTCTCATCAGAGCCCTGTTTTTGTTCATCTGCTTCACACTCCATTCTTTCTTTCCTTCCTGTTTTGCTTAGGAAAGTCCTGTTTTCTGCTGATTCACACAACCCATGGCCTGATGAAGTCCAGGGAGTATTCTCCTTCCAGCGGGACAGACGTTGTTTCTTAGCAGACTTGAACCTACAGCCTCTCTCATAGCTCCAATCTGATACCTTCAACTTCTGCTGAAGGCTGGCAGCCACCTCTGATGTCACTCGTTTCACCTTCCGCCGGCGCCTGAGTGGTCGACAAGGTGCATTTTCAGTAAAGGAGTCAGATTCATGCCAAGAGTGTTGCTTACTCTTAACTAGGGCATTGAGAGCTGGGTGCCGTTTCGCTACCATTGTGTCATCAGAGTCACTGAAATTGGTGACTGGGGCCACTTCTCGACAATCCTTAATGGCCTCATCCAGACTTGATTCAGAGGCCTCACTGTAGCAGCAAGTATGTTCTGCCAGGTGAGTAAAGTCAGACCTGCGTTTCCGGCCCCGGCGCTTCCGAAGCTGCCGCCTCTGCTGCCGAGGGCTCAGGGCCATTTCCTCCCACAGCTCACCAAGTTTATTCTGCTCAGATGTCTGCTCCAAGGCTGAGGCTAAGTCATGTACCAGCTCATCCATGAGGCCACATCTGCAAAAAA